TATATATTTTATATTTATATATTTACATGGATATACATTTTTATTTGTATATAAATATAATTTATGTATAAGTTATTATCGAGAAAATCCTAATAGCTTAGTGGTTGGAGTATCGGCCTCCGACTCTAAGGTCATTGGGTTCGAATCTTGCCAGTGACAATTCTCTTAATCTGATAATAAATCAAATTTCTAAAAAATATAAATAATATAATAAATAATAAAAATATAATATAAAAGGGAGAGGAGACCTCTAGATCAATAGATAGGGTAATTGGAGAGGGGTTATGAATAAATAAAATAAATAAAATAAATAAAATATATAAAAATATTAGACTTTCTACATCGGTTCCTTAGGAACCGATGTAGAAAGTGGAAAGTCACACTTTCTACATCGGTTCCTTAGGAACCGATGTAGAAAGTGTGACTTTCTACATCGAGCTGTATCTACATCTGGTTCTAGAACCGATGTTAAAAGTCCCTGGAACCGATGTTAAAAGCCCGTTTTGTACTAGTGTCATCACCTCCCATGTTCTACTTTATCTTTACAATAGTCAATATTCTTAAATAATTTATATTTTTAATTATAATTTTTTAGTATATATTTAGAAATTAATCAATTCTAATCTATTATTTGAAAAACTAATCAATAATTTAGAAAACTAATCGATTATAATTAATTATTTGAAAAAATTATCAAATATGATCGATCATTTTGAAAATCTAATCGATCAGAATAAAAAAATCTGGTTGTATATGATAGCGGTTCCATTGGAACCGCTATTAAAGAGCACTTCTAATAGCGGTTAACCCTTAACAGCTATCTAAAATATACTTTAGATAGCGGTTAACCCTTAACCGCTATCTAAAATATACTTTAGATAGCGATTAACGTAGAACTGATATTATATCATAATGAAAACTTACATTAACTATTTTTTGAATATTATGTTTTTAAATTTGCTATTAGAGAAAACCTTTCAGAATTCAAAATGTTAAATACTTTTAAATATTAAAATTAACTTTATCAAAAATTAGGAAAAAAAATAATCCAAAAGAGTTCAAAAATGTATTATAATATTGTCAATTTTGAGTTTAATTATATTGTTCATTCTCAAAGTAGAAAAATATATTATAATTATTTTAATTTAATAAAATATAATTTAAATTTTTAATACTAAAATTAAAAGATTAAATAATAATAAATTTAATTCTTTAAATTCGAGTATTTAGAAACTAATATTATAGTTTCTCTGTTTTAAATAATTAAAATAAATATTTAAAAATAAAAATCAAAACTAGTATTATCTTAAATTTATTAAAAGCTGTAATTAAATCTCTATTTTCTTAATTTTTTTTGTTTTAAACTTCTTAATTTTACATTTTTGTAAGTTCTATCATTATATTATCATCCTCATCTCCTCCCATGTTCTACTTTATCTTTACAATAGTTAATATTCTTAAATAATTTATATTTTTAATTATAATTTTTTAATATATATTTAGAAATTAATCAATTATAATCTATTATTCGAAAAACTAATCAATTCTAATCAATAATTTAGAAAACTAATCGATTATAATTAAGTATTTGAAAAAATTATCAAATATGATCGATCATTTGAAAATCTAATCGATCAGAATCAAAAAATGTGGTTGTATATGATAGCGGTTCAATGGAACCGCTCTTAAAAGCGCACTTCTAATAGCGGTTAAACCTTAACCGCTATCTAAAATATAGTTTAGATAGCGGTTAAGGTGAAACCGCTATTATATAGTTTCAAATATTAACTATTTTTTTTTAATATTATGTTTTTAAATTTGGTAATACAGAAAACGTTTCAGAAATCAAAATGTTAAATACTTTTAAATATTAAAATTAACTTTATAAAAAATTAGGAAAATAATTAATCAAAAATAGTTCAAAAATATATTATAATATTTCCAGTTTTAGTTTAATTATATTTTTCATTCTCAAAGTAGAAAAATATATTGTAATTATTTTAATTTAATAAAATATAATTTAAATTTTTAATACTAAAATTAAAAAATTAAAAAATTAAATAATAATAAATTTAATTCTTTAAATTTAGTATTTAGAAACTTGCTTGAAAAGAGTACTAAAGTTTGCTTGATTGATTGCTCAAGGATGTGTAAAAGCTGATGTTCAATGTGTGTTTAAAAAGTTCAAGCCAAACTGTTTTTATAGAAGATTTTCAAAGCTGCTTGGTTTAATCAATATGTTAAAATAATCTTTTCATGCTGTTAAAAGTGCAGTTTTAATCTGTTAAAACTTCTTTTAATCCATTAAAACGTTCTTGATTCTTTAACGATTTGTTTTAAGCGATACGACAACGTTTATATCAATTAAAACATTTTACAAAAAATCTTGTAATATGTTTTAATCGATTGTTTCAGTGATTCAATCGATTGAAATACTTGCAAAACTTTATTGTGAGTTTTTCCAAGTGATTTTAATCGATAAAAATAAGTTTTAATCGATTAAAACGCTTGTGTAGAAATTTTCTAAGTTGTTTTAATCGATTGAAACGTGTTTTAATCGATTGAAAACGCCTCGATCGGTCATAACTCAATTCTGATCGATCATATCTGATTATGATCGGTCATAATTACATTCTAATCGATCATCCTGAACTCTAAGTGGTTTTAATCGATTAAAAGCAAGTTGCATCGATTAAAATACTGCAAAAACACTTCTCTTAACATTTTAAGTGTTTTTAATCGGTTATTTCGAAGCTTTATCAGTTTAAACACTGACAGAAGGTTTTCAAAACTTTCTTTAATGGAAACAACCGGTTATTTCGAAATTATATCAGTTAAAAACTTGTTTAAGAAAGCTTTTGTTAAAATACTTTGTTTTTAACTGCTTAAACGTATTTAGAGGCATTTTGCAAAATCTTTTAAGTGAAGAAACTTCATGCAGCAGAAAAGATAAAAATGATTATACTTAAGCATAGCTGAAGACACACTAATTCCTCTACTCTTTTATCAAAGTGACTGTTGACCGCTACAAAGTTGACTTTGACTTTATCTTTGACTTCATCAAATCAATAAGATCTTTGTCGAGTGTTTCAATAAGATCTTCATCACTTTCATACAATAATTAATATTCTTAAGTAATTTATATTTTTATTTATAATTGTTTAATATATATTTGAGAAATTAATCAATTATAATATATTATTTGAAAAACTAATCAATTCTAATCAATTATTTAGAAAACTAATCGATTATAATTAATTATTTGAAAAAATTATCCAATATGATCGGTTATTTGAAAATTTAATCGATCATAATGGTTGTATATGATAGCGGTTCCAATCGAACCGCTCTTAAAACGAAACATCTAATAGCGGTTAAACCTTAACAGCTATCTAAAATATAGTTTAGATAACGGTTAATGTGGAACCGCTATTATATAGTTTCAAATATAAATTTAAATATATTTTTAATTTATTTAAATATGCTTTATTTTTAGTATTTATAAAATAGATTAGTTTTAAATTTTTAACTTTTCTAGCGATCTATTTTTAATCTTTGTTATTAATTATGTTAAAAATGAAAAAAATATTAATTAGTATACTTAAACTAATGTATATTGATATAATTTTTTTGTATATCAATTATATGAAAATAACCATGGTTAAGTAATTAATAATAATAAAGCAATAAATTTAAAGATTAGATTAAAAATAAAGTTTTATAAAATAAAATTGTAATAATTTGATTAAAATTTTATTTTCTTAATTAATTAAGTTAATGAGGAATTAAAATGTGATCATTTGATGTGTTTAATTTTTTTAATATAAATTTTTAAAATATAATTTAATTTCAATTGAAATTTTCAATTGAAAATTAAATTAAAGAATATTTATTATTAAACTTTTCTTAAACAATGTATTGAATAGTTAATATTACTCTAATCTTAATTTATTACAATTTAAATTTTTAATAAATTTGATTTATTTTTAATAATATTTTTATTTTAGTAATTTAAAATTAAAGTTAATCTTCATTTTGTTAATATTGAGACCAAAGTTTATTTTCAAAGTATCTTTTAAAAATTAAATTATTTTTAGAAAATAAATTACTTTTAAAAAATAAATTGTCAAAAATATACTAAAACAATTAAAGTATATTTATAAAAAAATAAATTTAAATATCATAAAAAAATAATGTTCAGTTAGCGATCGATTTAAATTCGGTCGCTATTTTCTCATTAGCGACCGATTATAATTCGATCACTATTTCAATTTGTAATTCGGTCGCTAAATCAGTCGCTAAATGATTTTTTTATTTTAGTGTGGAATAGCCACCGATTTAGCAACCGAAATTTTGCGACGCAAATTATTGATTGCTATTTCGGTCGCTAAATAACAAAATGAAAACCAATTCATATTTTGGTCGCTAAATCGGTTGCTAATTGCGACCGAATTAAAGTGGTCACTGAATCGGTCGCTAATTGCGACCGAATTAAAGTGGTCGCTAAATCGGTTGCTAATTACGATCAAAATTAAATCGGTCGCTAAATCGGTCGCTAATTGCGACCGAAAAAATTCGATCGCTAATTTCAGTGACTAAATATAATTTTTTTTGTAGTGAAAATTTATATATAGAAGTTTAGATGCATATCATAATGACAACAATCAACAATATTCTTAAAATAATTTCATACCCACTCTGCACGTCATAATAAATTCGAACACAAATCTATCCAAACCGAAAAACATATCAATATTCATAATCAATGTTTCCTCATCTAACACAAATTTCAGTTCTCTGTAAAAACAAGGTACAATCTGATCACTTATAAACAATAGAATTAAAGTAATACTTAGGGATCGATTAACAGAGGATAGACAAACACACAATAACAACAATGGACAGAAATAAAATACTCACCATGAACAAAACCAGAAGCACCGCCTGGAAACGTGAGAAAGCGCAAAACCAGAAAAAGAAACCAACTACACCCAACCTAGGACACGCAACCAATAGAATTAAAGAACAAAATGGAGAACAAACTGGGAGGACAACGGGATGCAATCGCCGATGAAAACCACCAGTGAAAGTAATGTGATTTTGTTGCTGCTTGTTCTAGTATATGTGTTGATAATGGAGGTTAGGGCAAGCCAACCACGTCACCGACAAGATTAAAGAACGAACCCGAGAAGATAATAGAGGTCAATCACATAAAATCGTCAATGAATAACGGTTTCGTTGCTCCATTCTTTGCGATGTTCCCCTTATGTTTTGAACAAGTTACTTTAACTTGTGCTCACTTAAACTTTTCCAATTTTCTTTGAAGTGTCACTGTAACATAAAATAATTAATTAAATATATCATGTAAGAAAGTGTCTAATGGATGAAGTAGGAAATAAGGTGTATGCTACTCATTACCCAAAATTGTTATTTTGATGAGTCTTTACAAAAAATTCAAATACATAGTACATCAATCAAATCCATATTCAACACAGCATAAACTACATAATCTATTGTGTCAACATATGAGTAAAATCCACTCACTTAAATAAGTAAGAGGACAAAATTCTTGTGGCAAAAACATATATGCACATACGTGTACATATTATCATCAGAGTAAAAAATTGGAAAATAATCAAAATTTGAAAAATATTTTGCTCTCTTCAATAAGTATATACGAGGTTTAATTTGAAAATGGAAAACAATCAAATTAGTTAAATTAATTTATAATTAGAATCTTATTGATGTTAAACTAGAGAACACATGATTCTTTCAAATATACAAACAAGAAACAAAATAACATGAAAAAAAAAACTGCAAATTGAGATAATTCAATTGAATAAAATAAAAGTCTCTCTTTCACAAATCATTCTACCATACAACTATTATCTCAAACATATGTGTTGTTTTGAACATATCTTTACCTATGCCTATATTCATATCCTCCAGTAGAAGATCTAGAGTGAGTAGTTGCTTCAATGGTGCTAGTTGATGGTGATTCATATTGATGAAAATAGTCAATGAAGAAAGACATGATTGACCATTCAACCAAATAGTAGATTTTATCTATTTAATAAAAATAGATATAGAAACTAACTTTCCCATCACTACCTTCACCACCAATCTTGGGCCTATTTGAAAATCCTTCAAAGCTAAGATAATAAAGCTTAGAGCACCACAACCTGAGTAACAAAGCAAGTAGTAGCAGGGGAAGTCACGATAGTTGTTTCAATTGAAGTTGAAAGTCTTATTTTTCATATCAATAATTTTTATTTATTTTCAACCTCCCTCTATTTATCTAGAGGTTCCCCTCTCCCCCTCTCTTTTATAGATTTGAACCCAGTACTTTAGAGTTAAAGATTGATACTCCAACCACTAAACTACTAGAATTTTCTAATAATAACTTACAAATAAATTATATTTATATACAAATATATATATATATATATATATATACGTGTAAATATATAAATATAAAATATATAAATACAAATATATTTATATTTTTTGATATATTTATATAGTTATATATTTATATGTTGGATGTAAGGGCACACTCGAAGGTGAAAGAATGTGTCGAGTGGGTTTTCAAAATTTGATGCCAAATTTGTGAGCGGGTCTCTTTATATGAGTTTGTAATTTAATGACAGAATATAATATTTATAATTTATTTATATAATGGTATAAAATAAATTTGGGAAACGTGTCATTCGCTCAAGCGAAAAATACCAATTTTTGCTTGAGCGAGTGAATTTCCGTGAGCTTTAACGTATTTTCGCTCAAGCGAGAGTCTCATTTCACCCTCGAGCGCGCCCTCACATCCAACATATAAATATATAACTATATAAATATATAAATATATCAAAATATATAAATATATTTGTATTTATATATTTACACGGATATATATTTATTTGTAAGTTATTATCGGAAAATTCTAGTAGTTTAGTGGTTGGAGTATCGATCTCTAGTTCTAAGATACTGGGTTTGAATCCTGTCATTGACAATTTTCTCTTAACTTAAGCGAATAGGGGTGGGTAAAGTGAGTAAAATAGAGAATTCGAACATTTATATTAATTGAGTTAATAATATTTATTAAAAAATTAAAAATAAATATTTAATTTACTTACTTTTATTATTAAATTATATATAATAAAATATTTATAAATAATTTAGTAAAAAAAATTAAATTACTATACTAATAACTTTTAAAACATTTTCTATTTTAAATATTTATACAGATTTAAACTTATTTACAACTTTTTTAAAAATATAAAACTTTTCCTGCCAAATTAAATACAGTAAAAATAATTTACAGCTTTTTTTGAAAGAAAATTTAACGGCTTTATTTCACATAAAAAAGTGTCAAGCTATTTTATAATTTATTTTTCTCATGAAAATTTGTTACTTCCTACTAATTATGTTTTTCAGAAAAATTCACTTCTAGGAGTGATAAAATATATTATACTTATCTTCTTAGTATTTATATTCACATCTTATTTTAATATTTTTTTCCATAAACTCTAGTATCATTTATTTAATAATATTAATACTCACAACTTACCAAGAACATGAATTAATTATTAATAATATTATCACCTTTTTTTATTTAATTATACATTTTTTAAGTAGTTATTTATAATATAATTATTTAATTTTTAAAAACACGAATTTAAAAAGGATAAATTACTAAAATAAAAATAAAAATGAAAAAAAGGCTGAAATTCGATGCGCAAAACCGAATTTCAACTAGTTTTCTAATGCCAATGGAATAAAAGCAAGGTCACGACAAAAAAGTCCAAGGTAAATATAGTGAAAAGAGTCTATTTAGTAAAATTTCTTTAAAAAAGTATTATTTAAAAAAATCTGAAAAAAAGACAATATTAATTATTTTAATCTTACAATATACTTTCCATTGCTTGAAATTTTTAAAAAATAATATTGTTTGTCTATATATTATAATATATAAATTTTATTTTCGAGTAAAACTATTATCATCTCACAAATTAATTATGTTTATTGTTGAGAAGCTTCATTTTTGTATTTGAACACATATTGGGTGATCACACTCTTACATAGAGTATATTCTATCTAATAAAATTTCCCTATCAGTACCTTTTCTTTATTATATATATATATATATATATATATATATATATATATATATATATATATATATATATATATATATATATATATATATATATAAACAAACCTATTAAAATATATCTTTCAGATTAAAAATAAGTGTGAAACTTTAGTATTATTTTTCGATTAGTGAATATAAATGTTTTATATAATAATAATGATATTATGGAATGATAATATTGGTAGAATTAATTTTAATATTTGAAGTATTATTTATTTTAAAATTATAATTTATCATAATTTTATTTTTAAAAGAGGTCTTAATAAATATAAAAAATAGTGTAGTATATAAATTACTTTCATTCTTAATTTATAAATAATGTGCAATATATATATATATATATATATATATATATATATATATATATATATATATATATATATATATATATATATATATATATGAATATTGTGTTCCACTCATTCCATAGGCTTACTTTCTTAGTGGATGAAAAAAAAAATAGTGTAATTTTCAATACAATGATTTTTTATTTTGTAGAAATAAAAAAATTCATATCCGTAAAGAAAGATGGAGTAATTCAAGATTTATGTGATAAATTTTCTAATTTTTTTATAATGATAATAATAATAATAAATAATAATTATAAAAAATATAAAAATAAATATAAAATTATGAAAAAAAATTAATATTTTTTTATTTTATTTTCTTATTTATTTTGATTTTGATTTTCTTATACTTAACCTAAATAATCTCATTTTTTTTATTTTACTTTTTCAAATCCACTCTAAATTAAACAAAGACTCAATTTTATTATTTTATTTAAGAATTTTGGGGAGAATCTAGCACTTAGTTTTATTCATATTGAAATCCCACACAAGTAATGATTTAAGCAAATACTTTTATGATATCATTTGTTCCATGTGGAGCATAAGTATCTTTGTTTGGAAAAGCCTGTGATATTGAGAAAGCAAAATATTTATGAATCACCACTTTGAATCATATACTCATGATAAATGTTAATTGCTTGGATACTTATTAAGTACTTCATAATAATAAGATATATATTGTAAAAAAAACGTAATAGGTATATATTTAGAGTAAATGATTTATGTGTATGATACTATTTTGTAATAATAAATATCATAATAATTATTTTGGAAGTGTTAAACTTGTTTTGAAATAGTACTTAAAAACAAAATTGTTTCATAAATGTATGTGATTTTTGAAAATAAATATATATATTTTCCAATTAGTTTATAAATGTTAATAAATAAATAGAATTATTTTAAAAATAATATTTAATCTTTCAATATTTTTTATTTTAAAGTAACTTTTATTTATTATCATTAAAATATAATTTATTATAAATATATAATAAATTGTATTTTAGCGTTTTGATGATAATATATACAGATTTTTTCTTTGAAATTAAGGATAAATGTGAAAAAAACATATTTTTCACTATTTTGTTAGATTTTATTTAAATTTTAAAATAAAATTAAAATTTTCATATATTTTCTTTAAGATCAAATTAACTATTTTATTAAAATACATTTATTCTAAAAATGTAATCAAAATTTAAAAACGTTTAAGGATAATTTAGTCATTTAAGATATCTGTGGTACAGGAACCCAATTTCTTATACCGTGGAAACAACTGGGCGTGGATACCTTAAAGGCCCATCGGCTTATCGATTTCTGAATCAGCCAGAAAGCAATAAATTCCTGCGGCAGTTTCTTTCCTGTGAAGATCGCAATCTAGGGTTTGAGAACCCTGCAGCAAGGGACCTTCAAGATCAACTTCTGTTTCCCTGACTTCAACCGAATTTCACTGGGTCGATCTTGACATTTGTTGTTGGCTATTCTCTCTCACTCCAATTATGGAACGGGATCCATAATTGTTTCAACACTCACAAAGGCAAGGGCTTGTATACTCAGAACCAAACTGCACAATGTCAAAAAAGGTATTAGAATTCTCACTTTCTTCTTCGAATCAAACCCATTTCTGCTTGCTTGAAATCCATTGGTGATCCTGTTATGAAGCTTGAAATTACGAAATAGAACTGGGCCTGGGAAGTAGTCCAAGTCACCAAATGCCCTTTGGAGAGAACACTGAATTGAGTTTGGCAATCAACTGCCGAAAAAGTGAAGATGAGATTAGATGAGATTAGATGAGTTTGGACTACTTCAGTGTTCTGGATTCAGAATTCTCTCTAAAGGAGTTCGGGTGACTTGATTGACTACTTCATAGGCATTGAAGTTGAGCCTCAGCCTAATGTACCACTCTATATTTTACAAAGTAAACCATGAGTGCATTAGCCAAAACCAACATGGCTGAGGCTAGCCCATCTCATCTTCTGTAGTGGGAGGCTGTGAACTGACTAAAGAAGGTTTTGACATTTTTTTCTTGATTTTTAAATGGCAAGATTAACTAAATGGGTTTTTGGTTGCTTGATTGTTTGTGTGCGTGCGTGTGTCTGTGGATTCATGTTTTTGATTCAGTGGTGTTAGTTTTGTGAGAAATAAGGAATGGTGAAAATTTATTGTATTTATTGTTTGTATTGTGTTTGAAAATAGTTGGATCGGGGAGGAGGAAGGGACCGGTTTAGGAGGGATTACCCTTCGAGGTATGAAGATAACAAGGGAAATGGGGTTAATGGGCGTGATAACCGCAACAGCAACAATCCTCCTTCCAGGCATCTCTGGGCTGGGAATCTATCCCACAATATTGTAGAGGAAGAACTTGCTCACCATTTTTTGCGGTTTGGACCACTCGAGAATGTTGCATTTCAGCCTGGCCGCAGCTATGCTTTTATTAATTTCAGGAGGGATGAAGATGCTATTGATGCCATGAGAGCACTGCAAGGTTTTCCTCTTGCTGGCAACCCACTTAGAATCGAGTTTGCAAAGGCGGTCAGTGTTGCCCACCTTTTTCTGCTTGTTACTTTTCCATCTCATTATATAACTCTACAGCTGAAATCCAGTTCAGTTCAATTTATTTAATCAAAACCATAGTATTGTCTTAAAAATAAAGCAGCAACGTTTGCAAAAAGAAGAAAAAAAAAATATGAAGGAATGCAACACATCTTATTGTTTCCATGTATGATAATTGATATGGTTCAATAACTCACCTTATTGTTAAGATAACTATGGTCAAAAGTTACTGCTTTTAATTGAAGTTAATAATTCAGTCCAAACTGGGCTACAAAATAATAACCCTACTCAACCAACTGCTGCCAAATGGATCCATGCGTCATTAACTCAACTGCTTGATACTTCTTCACAAGCTCTGCATTGGTTTTCCATATTGTTGAATCGGCAAGAAATGTTTCATGTTTACCTCATGGTAATGTTCAAAGTTGATTAGATTTTGCACACCCAATGATTTCAACATCAAAAGTACAGGAAACTCAGGGAACAATTGGTTGAGTATACTGCTCCATTTAACTGAGGTCATATTAAAAACCAGATATCAGTATTTTCAAGTATTAGCCCCATTTATTCTCACTATACTTTATAAGATTACTGGAAAAATATTAAAAATAAAAAGCTTTTATGAGCAAGAATTCAATGCCTCTATGCAGTGGTAATATTTATCTAAGAACAAGTAATTTGGCCATAAAATTTTACGCCTTTAAATAGCCATGGGTACTGTAATGTGATTTATGACACTTTAATTCTTCATGTGGGTTGGTTGATTGTCTATTATTTGTTAACAACATAAATCCTATGCTTACCATGTCATTCTCTTCCACTGGTGAGCTGGAATTTGGAATGACTTGTCTGGTGTCAGTCTAGTGCTGTTGAGGAAGCTGTAGTGCAGTGGCATAGTCGAATCATGGTTTCATTTATTTTACTTATGAAAGAATTTTTTTAAGATGATCAGAAGGTAGTAAATTGCTTAGATATGGAGGATAATGGATCCTTCTTAATGCAAAAGGAAAATGCAAGCAATAAAGAAAGAAAACAATGAAGAAAAAGGAGACCATAAATTGAGCAAATCTACTCAATCTCCTTGCATACATGTTAGAAAAATTCCCTTAAAAAGACCTTGTGCTTTAAACAAAATTGAAACCAGACGCCAAATTCTAACCTCTATCAGCTGTACATATAAAGCATAGTTTGAACTTTTCTGAAAAGGTATAACCTAATAATGACTGGATGTTTATGACTATTTTACATGTTGTGCATTGGATGATGTCACTGTTTAAATTGTTTGACAATTATATTGCATGTTGTTTAAAATATCTGATTGTATGAGAGTTACACTTTTTCAATTTCATCAATCTCTCTTGTGAGAACTGCAGCAAGAGGCGGTGCTTTTTGTTCAGAGTTCATGTGTTTGATTCATTTCTCAATATCCATAAAACCCAGAGAGAAACAAAATAAAGCCAAACAAATCTCCCATTGTAGATCGTAGTCAAACTTCAGTTTGAAAATTAGGTTTAGCTTCTATCAAGCACAAGAATAACTGCATAACTAATGCAGTTCCATGAGGCTTTGATCTTTCCCTCCAAAAATATAAAATCCTCAATGAGGAATCTGCTCTTAGAGGGAAAATTTTATATTTCACCAAACAGCACAGCTTAATCCATATAGGAAAAAGGGCTAAATTTTTGGAGCTAGAACAATCCATGGTATTGCATAAAGAATGTGCATGCATGAGTCATACATCTCTCACTATATATTATCAAGAAGGAATATATTCCTGCATTGTAAATGAGTAATAAAATGGAAGGACTGACTAGAATGCACTGTAGAGGAACAAGAAGTTCAAATCTTCCCAAAGTCCCATCCATAAGCCAGGAAAGACCGGAAAGCTAACAAGCTTCTATATCATTTAGTTTCTTCGAAAATTTCAACTGGAAGCATATAAATCTTTTCAATTTAAGTATTATGATGGTTCAGCTTACTATCAAGAGAGGACAAGAATAGGCATTTTCAAAATAATTGTTTCAGTGTCGAAGATCTAACCTGAACTGAGATCTGTAATCCATATATTATACATTACCAAATGCAAAAACAAGTCACAATTTAGAAGGATGAGCTCATTGGACATGAATGGGAAGCCAGCTTGTCTTTATTACAGAAATCAAAGACGAGTTTCAAGTGTAATTTATGTTTCAATGATTGAAAATGCAGTCAAGCATTTACAATGTTGAGCTGTTTGAATTTGTTGAAGCTCAAAATTTTTCATTTCACTTAGTTTCTTCATTTAAACTCTAATAATCACATAAAGGTTGTAAACTAATCAAAGAAAAGGTATCTACTTTTGGTAAAGTATTGATGAGCCTTCATTTAATTGCTCAAGCTTTTAGGAGAGTTTGTCTTGACATGATATTAAAGCTTCTTTGGTCAGGTAGTCAAGGGTTCGCTTATTAAAATTGAGTAAAGGGTGTGATAGGTTGTGCATTGTCCACATTTCAAGTCCAATGGGCTCTTATGGGAGCGGATGTGGTAGATTTAGAACCATGGATAGGGCATTCACCAAGTGTTTGTTTAATGGTTAGAATAAAAGAAATTGTTATAGTCCTATTTTAATTTATTATTTGGTGCGTCAATTGGATGTGAAAGGCTTATCTTGGTTGCTTATCCTATCAAGTTCATTTGTTCAAAAGTTAACTAAGTAGAAGTTGGGGTTGGAACAAGTAGGATTTGATAGATTTTTTAACCCTTTTCATACCTCATAATTGCACAACTTCTTTATTCCATCACCACTAGCACAATTGTTGCCACGACTTCCAATACCACTACTTTAACTACCATCGTTATGATTGTTGCTACTACAAATGCAACCACCATCATTACCATATCCATCATCATTTGCAAATGAAGTGATCCAGTGCCATTAATGTGAACACTATTGATACAACCACAATCATTGCCACCATTGTTATCTTCATAATTTGCTTGACAAACACTTCTATCACTACCGTCACAGCACACTATTGCCGCCATAATTGTCATTGCTACAACTATTATCATCCTTGATATCACTATTTTCATCGTCACTACTAGCATCACTCAATTATCATCATCATTATTATTGTCACAATAATCATTATGATGATTGTCACTACCACTGTTGTAAATGCAATTAGTTTCCATATCGCCACCACCTTTTCATCAGATTAATTTTGTTATTTACATATATTTTATATTATTATTTGATAATTGATCTTGTGTGGACCAAACACTAGAAGAATAAGAGCCTGATATACTCATCATTTCTTACTCTTGTTTTTCTCGTAGCTATCTATCTTTATTTTATCTGGACCATCGAATCCTTTAGTAATTTAAGCTTTTAGGAGGTTCAATGTGTGGGTCTAAAATTGCGAAACATGCAACAGAACAAACCAATCTATCTACATGTCTAACCAATATTCCCCTTAAGAAGAATATTTGCAGAGCATCTTAGAAAAGATAAGTGAACTTGATCCCAAATGAATCAAGAGGTAACGGAGGACTAATAATAAAAGATTGGTTAAATAGTTTTTTTTTGTCTTACTATTTTGACCTTTTTTTTTTTTAATTTCGACCCACTATTATTTTTATAATCAATTTAGTTCTTTTCTCTTTAAATAAATCAATGTGATCCCTTATGTCAAATTCAATTTCGTTAAGATGTCTAACGAAAAGTTAAAGTTACGAAATATTGACGTACTCATACTTGTTGAAGTGGTCTTGATCTAATGTAGATGTGATGTTGATAAATCTATGTCATATGACGTATTATCGATGATTTATATGATACATTGACATGTGTTAACAAGTATGATCACATCAATACCATGTAACACTTTCTGTTAAATAGCTTAACTAAGTTGACCAGAGGGACTACATTGATTCATTAAAAAAACAAAAACAAAAAAGGAATAAATTGACATTAGAAGCAATAATGGGATCAAATTAAAAAAAGTAAAAAACAAAATAGTGAGACAAAAATATTATTTAGCTTAAAGATTTTATAATTTTTCCAACCATCTATATACCAAAAACATGCAAATTGAAAATAGCATCAAAATCTATTAACAGAGGAATGGTTGGATTTCCTTGGGGCAAATCTAATCATTACCAGGAACATCAAACAGGTTGTTTCCAAGATGGGAAATTGCATGCAAAAGTAAATGTTTCAGAAGTCAATATGCACTTCTTACTGTAATCAAGAGCCTAAGCAATTAGGGGTCTTCAGATTTGAAGTAACTCATTGGCATTGATCATGTTATCATCATAGTCCATCACTTGAACTCCAAATGGACTTGCAAAAGGAAAGAATCATTACTGACTAATCTAGTGAGAAAATATAAACAGGACTTTCAATTGCAAAATGGTATGCTAGGGCGGCTGTCAGGGGACCATTTCCCTTTGTTTGAGACTGAATCTACTAACACCATAAAGACATTGTGATTTAGCAACACCTTTTAACATAATTTTTCCAATACACCTTGTAATTGGTTAATATTTAGTGAAAATTATGAAAGTATTAGTTAAACTCATTAAATAAAGATTGGATCCATATTATTTCACAAATCCCAATCAATTGTAGTCAATAAATAATAGTGAAAGTATAGGATAAACATACCCTAATGTCCTCTCAAAATTTTGTACAATAACCATCACCTAATCCAAGGAAACAAGATGTATAAAGGAAAACAAAACTTTGAGATACAGGTTTCCAAAGCATGCATAGATTTTACTGCAGAATTGGCATGCTACTCATTAGAATCATAAAATGTAAATGTTAGAGATCTAATAGAAAACGATTAACCAGTCTTTACTCAGTAGCTTAAGATTTTGAGAGGGGTTCACGATTGTATCAAAGCCTTTATGGTCAACCCTATTTTTCTTAAAAGTTGCATTTCAGTACAAGGTAGGTGCATCATCATCTATGGTATAAAGCTCAACAGGCTCTTGCAAGAGGGATTGTATTAGAGGTCGGATATAAAATTATTCATGTGTCTTAACCTATTAGCTTTAGCTTATGGGATAGTTGGTTTATGGTAGTGCTTTTGGAATTCAGATAAGCTGATGCTATAGATTGTCTTTAGAGGGAAAAAGGCAAAGCTATCTTGCTGTCAAAGGAAATGTTTATTGAAACCAATTTCCTAGATCCAAATTTATCTTAACTTTTTCTGTATACTGAAATGGAGATTTTGTTTGGATAAACATGAAATGATTTTATTGGATAGAAACTATTGAAAAGGGCAACCTCCAACGAAAACACTAAAGCAAAAGAAATAAAAAAGTTAATATCATGGTTACCTCCATTTAAAATTATGTGCAAAGCATGGATAGTGAGCACATAAGTTTCGCTGAATAGAGTGCATGAAAGTGAACAACAGCATTAGCAAATAATTATGGTCAAACAAAACAAATACCAGGAGTTAATGTCATAACTGCCATCATTTGTACATCAAACAATTACATCCCCACTGAAATGAAACTAATCAACCTTCCAAATAAAAAAGGAAAACCTGTAAACAAACCAGGATTATGAACTTCTGAATATACAGTTGAAGGAAAAGTTATAATACCAATATCAATTATCTCTAAAACATAAGAAAAATTAAATCAAGATTTCCTTTGGGCTAAGTAATATTCCCATGTCCTTTCTCTCTTTGCTTATATTGAATGACTAGATATCTGTGTATGGTCATGTAGACTGATATCTTGAATAAATTTTTTAGTATCCACATAAACTTTGCCTGTCCAACTTGAATTATAAAGGAGATAAACATTACATGGTCAGAATTTTGGAGACTATAGGGTTTCATGCATTGTTTTAAAACACGGCTTAGACAGACTGGTTAAATGATCTGAGCAGAACCAGACATAATCTCATGTCTAGTTTATTATTGGATTGTGTATGCCTTTGACTCAGATGTGATGTCATTAAACTAACTTCAAAGCAGATTAAATCATGTAACTCGGTCCGGTGCAAACAGATGAAATTGTAGAAATATTGCACGGATGGGACAATCTTGAGTTGAAGGTGCTGACTATAGGTTGAGCTGATGCTGCAAAACGTTGTATTTGACTGGATGAATGTGTGGCTCCAAATTGTTTATGGTTTTAATGAAATTTTAGAAAAAAGTTAAAGAGTAGGCAGACTAAGAATCACACACAACAGCGATGCACTAAAATGTTATTATTGAGATTTTATATGACAACATGTTAATATATATATATATATATATATATATATATATATATATATATATATATATATGTAAATATATATAATCTTGTTAAAATATGTTTTATTTTAACTTTTGATGTATGTACTCATATTCAGGGTTGGGGTTGGGAGAAGAGTCCAACCTCTCTTTTATACACCCTTATATATTAATACAACATAGAGTTATAAAACACTGACTTTTATCCTAATATATATCTCTCAAGTTGGTATCAAAGCAGGTAAGATTATGCTCTAGTGTCCTTTGTCACTAATCATCTTCGGCCACCTGTTGTTGTTGTTGTCATTATTGTTTGTTGCCATCAACCAATGCCATTATGATCGACAAAGTAGAGGTTAGGTTTACCTCGAGGAGCATGATCAAATCCCAGTGACTGTGACATCATTCGCTGCCGCACATGCCCTCACATGTCGATCAATGTGCGGGTTGTCTCGGGTGCATGAGTCTTACGCATTGCCCTCACATGGTCGGAATCCATCCATATCACCACCATTCATCTTGTCGGCACCTTTTGGCTTTATTGTTGTCGTTGTTTCTCTGTTTCGAAATCCTTGAGGGTTGGGTCCAGTGCTTCCTTTAACTGTTTAGGAGTTTTCTCTCTAGTTTTCTTAGATATGGTTGTTCCTTCTCTGTTTGAGATGACTTCAATAAGCTCTATTTATTCCTTTTCAGTTACTCCTATTATTACAAGTGCTAAACTCAAGTGGAAAAAATATTTGTGTTGATATGCTTTTGTGGAATTGTAGTTCCTTAGTCAAGGGTATTGTGGGAAATCAAATAGTATTTTAGGAAAGAATAAATCAGGAAATTTGTATATTTCCTTGTAATCTGTACAGATTTGAATAATTAGAAACAATCCCATAAATCAAGGGATCCTAGCATAAAATAGAGTTATTATATTTCCTAAAATAGCTTAGGTCTCTTGTATATATCTTATATCATCTCTTTGTATTGAAATAATATCAAATATATTTCAGTTAATCTATTTTTCAAGATGGTATCAGAGCTTCCGATCTAGGGAAGCTCTGTCACTGCGCAGATAAACCCTAAGACGGCAGCCTGCATTGCCGCTGTATTTTTCTTAACCCTAAGACGACTGTACTGCATTCGTCGTTGCATTTTCTTAACTCTAAGACTGGCTGCACTCGCATTGCACTGCATTTTTTTTAATCCTAAGATGACAGACTGTATTGTTGTTGCATCACACCTCCTTGCTATGATGTCAAGGGAAGAGGAAGTTGTGAATCCAAACCCGGAAACAAACAGGAATACCCAATCCCAAAGAACTGGAGAACCGCGAATATTCATTCGTGCATATAGACTAAATGGAAGAAATTATTTGAAGTGGGCCCAACTTGTTCGTACAAGTGTTGAAGGGAAAGGGGAAGTTGAGTCACCCGATGGAGTCCGGACCTAAACAAGAGGATCCCAAGTTTACTACATGGGATGAAGAAGATTCAATGATCATGGCGTGGGCTGTGGAATTCAATGATTCCGTAAATCGAGTGACACCCGCATGTTCCTTAATTCGGCAAAAGATATTTGGGATGTTGTAGAGCAAACCTACTCTAAAGCCAAAGATGTCGCTCAAGTATATGAAGTAAAGGTGAAAACTTTGGCAGCAGAAACAAGGGAACAAGACTATTACAGAATATGCCAATCATCCGAAATCATTGTGGATGGAGCTAGACCATTATAGAGTCATAAAAGCCAAATGTACCTGAAGATTCAACACTTCTCAAGGAGTATATCGAACAAGACAGTTTATGATTTACTTGTTGATTTATTGGTTTGAATCCCGAATTTGATCAAGTTAGGATTCAAATATTGGGGAAGCAAAAGGTACCATGCCTCGATGAAGTGGTGGCTATTGTGAGAAGTGAAGAAAGTAGAAGGGGTCTCATGTTAGAGAGTCCCGCGAGTAGAGACTTCAGCAGTGGACCATAAAGGAGATCAGACTTTGGCCATGGTAACCGAACAGAAGAAAGGAGGAACAGCAAATGTGGAGAAGAAAGGTGATGGTCTCTGGTGTACCTACTGCAATAAACCTCGTCATACCCGAGAGAAGTGTTGGAAGTTACATGGGAAGCCTTTAAATCGAGATCGAGAAGGAGGACACAAAGGAGGCTCCTCAAGGAAAGGAGGACAAGTTTATGTTGTCATTGAAACAAATGAAGGAAATAATCTAGAAGTTGTCTGTCCATCTTAATCAAGAGGAGATAGAAAGGGTGAGAACCTTTCTTAGTAAGCCGGAAAAACCCACAGTGTGTGTGTTCTTTGGCATACACAGGTAAGTTTCCATTTTTTTTTGGATTAAATGTCTCAGATACACCTTTTAACCATTATTGGATATTGGACTCTGAAGCCACAGACCACATGACACCATTAGCCAAACTTTAAGGCTCTAGGATCAAGTTTTCCCCTGTCTGTACTATGAATATGGACATATGAGATGCATCCAAAAATTCTTGGTTTAAGATTATTTGTAGTAGATAGGTTTGGATAGAAAGATGACAAAGCTTCCATAGGGCTTTTCGATCCTAAGACTCTAGAGGGTAGTCTATTGATAAGGTATGTCGCCGTAAGGACGACTTCCCCAGTAAATTTTTTAGGACACTTTTTTGGAACAACAATGCCCGAAGTCTCGATTTAATAGATGTCCATTTTTCCTCTCGCGACCCCATTCTGCGCGTGGTGTTTTGACACAAGAGGACTCATGAATTATACCTTCTTTTTGACAAAAAGAACTAAGGACATGATTGAAGTAATCTTTGGCATTATCTCGACCTAAGTCTCTTAATTTGAAAATATTGACACCAAACCGATTTTTTATCATGGAGTGGAAGTTTAGGAAGACGAACCGACTTCGATTTTTGTTTAAGTAGGAAAACCCAAGTGACCCTTGTACAGTCATCTATAAAGGTGACAAACCATCGAGCACCAGTACACATTAGGAATATTAGAAGGTCCCCATATATCGAGTATGAACAAGATAAAAAGGGAAATTGCTAACTTTATTACTTATTGGAAAAGATACACACTTGTGCTTAGCTAGTTCACACACCTCACAATGAAGACTCTCAACATCTAACTTGGTAAACAGAGAGGGAAACATAATTTTGATCACTTCAAAAGAGGGATGTCCCAACCGACAATGATAAAGCATGGTTTTTTCTCTATTGGTCATCAAGGATTCAGATATGAAGGAGTGAGAGATTTTGTTCTTGCTGGGCAGACTTGGATCTTCGAGATAATAAAGGCCATTCCATTCTCTAGCATGTCCAATCATCCTCCCCGACTCCTTGTCCTGAAATACACAATGATCGTTGAAAAAAACAACTTTACATGACAAATCCTTTATAAGTTTTTGTATAGAGACTAGGTTGGTGGATAGCTTTGGGACATGGAGAACATCTTTTAAGGTTATTAAAGGATTGATTTGGATATTTACTTGTCCAGCTGCAGTTATAAGGGTTCCATCTGCTGTGGCAATTTTCTTGTTGCTGGGACATGGGAAATATGTGGAGAAGTGTTTTCAAGGAAGATAAGGAAAGTAGTAATTCTGATTTTCCCATTTTTCCAGACTTGATATTTGAACCTAAACAAGATCAAATTGAAGTTGTAACAAGTGAAACAGGTCAAAGAATTGGTCAAGAAAAGGAAGCTGGTCAAGAAAGTGAAATTAATTGTGAAGCTGATCAAGGAGATGTTGAAGCTTACAAATTTGGTAAGAAGCTAGTGTACTCAAGGAAGACTAAGGCCATTCCAGGATCAAGCCATGTTCAAGAATCCAACTCGACTCCACAAAAAGAGGTAACAATTTTTTCTCAGTACTGCATGATTGAAATTGAAACCCAAAATGATCCCGACCTCCCAATTGCCATTAGAAAAGGAACAAGAAAATGCACCAAACGAGCCACTCTACCCTCTCTCAAACTACCTGTCCTTTAAAAATTTCTCTCCTACCCATAAAACCTTCCTAGTAAACCTAAACACTACACTTCTACCTAATACCCTATCTGAGACATTGTCTGACAGAAAATGGAGGCAAACCATGGATGTAGAGATGGAGGCATTGGAGAAGAACAACACCTAGGAGTTAGTCACCTTACCAATAGGAAAGAGGCCAGTTGGATGTAAATGGGTCTATACAGTGAAATACAAGGTTGATGGATCAATTGAGAGATATAAGACAAGACTAGTTGCCAAAGGGTTCACCCAAACCTATGGAGTTGATTATTTGGAGACCTTTGCTCCGGTTGCCAAAATGAACACAGTTAGGGTGATATTGTCCCTGGCGGCCAATTATGGTTGGAACTTGGAACAATTTGATGTTAAGAATGCTTTCCTACATGGAGACCTTGAAGAAGAAATTTATATGGAGATACCTCCGGGATATGGTAAAGATGTTGCTGCCAACACTGTTTGCAAGTTGAAAAAGGCATTGTATGGGTTAAAACAGTCCCCCCGTGCATGGTTTGGCAGGTTTACTGAAGTTATGACAGGTCTGGGTTACAAACAAAGCCAAAGTGACCATACTTTGTTTTTTAAACATTCCAAGTCGGGGGAGTAACAATATTATTGGTGTATGTGGATGACATAATATTAGCTGGAGATAATAAAGAAGAGCGACAATTATTGAGCCAATGCTTAGGCAAGGAATTTGAGATCAAGACCTTGGGAAAACTAAAATATTTTTTGGGAATTGAAGTTGCCCACTCCGAGAAAGGGATATTTATATCTCGAGCAGAAATACATCACCGATTTGCTCAAGGAAGCCGGCAAGGCGGCTTGCAAACCCGCTAGTACCCCATTAGAAACAAACCTAAAGCTTGGAAATGCGAGAAGAAGATGTTGCCGTTGAAAAAGATATGTACCAAAGATTAGTGGGCGAGACTTATATATTTGTCGCATACCGGGCCGGATATTGCCTATGCGATGAGTTTAATTAGCCAATTTATGCGTAGCCCAAAGGAGACCCATTTATAAGCTGCCCACGTAATTTTACAGTACCTTAAAGGAACTCCAAGAAGAGGGATTCTATTCAAAAGGAATGGTAATGTAAAGCTTGAAGCCTATACTCGATGCCGATTATGCAGGGTCAATTGTGGATAGGA